GCAAAACCAGTCCCGGTACCCGGCCATCTGCAGCTGAACTGCTCAAGACCACAAACCCGCTGGCTCGGAGGGTCATAACGGAGTTTGCCCCTGAGCTGGATGGTGCAAATAGCCCGAAGAGCCAGCCCTAACCACGCACAGTCCCTGATGGCTAGAAAGGCCTTGAGAGTACTGCTCTGGGCGGTAGCTTTACGCACTCAGGTCTCTGCAGATGGGGTGTCTCAGGCTGCCAATGTGAGTCTGTGCCCTGCTGGGGTTTTTATTTTCGTTTTGTTTCTTCCTTGTTGCATCTTCTTTTGATGTTCTCCAGTGTGGGGGGGAGCAGCTGGTGAAGAGGCAGTGTTTTGACCTGAGGACACCATGGCTCTGGTGGAGTCAGGATGCATCAAGGGGGCAAAAGTCAGAAATGGAGCACCACAAAAAAAATGAACCAGCGCCCAGATCCCTTCCAGCTTCTGCCCCGAGTGCCAGCTGGAGGACAGCACACACTTCCCTGCTTCTTGGGAGCCAGAAACGAACTGCAGCCCAAGTGTAATTCAGCATCCGCAGCGAAGCTAGCTTCAAACTGTTTGGTCGCTCCGGCATGTGGTACTTTAAATGGCTTTTATAATGCACAGTGTTGATGATGTTTTATTCTTTTTTCTTTTGACACTGTAACTTGAGTTTCCCAGGCAAAGATCCCAGGTTTGAGTTCAGCCGGATACTTGGAGATTTACTTTGGGAAGACAGCTGGAAATAAGGCTGCTTTGGAAGAGCCGCAAGCAGTTTCCACGCGTCATCCAAAGCACGTTCTCCCTCCGCGCTGCTGGACCGGGCGCCTGCAGCCAGTGCGTGATCTCAGGCCAAAATCCAGTCCATTGAAAGCCCCTGACGATGCTGCATTTCAAAGAGCTCTTTGGCCCTCGGCCCAAAAGCAACACCCAGGGATGCTACTGCCATCTCCCGGGGAGCCAAGCCCCATCTGCAGATGCACAGAGCCCAGCTGAACTGAGTGCAGAGGCAGCCCATGCGGAGGCCTGCGGCATTCCCGCTGGGATCACGCCCTGTGAGAATGAGCTGCCCCCATGAGAGGCAGTTGATTTCAGTTAAATTAAAGCCTTGACATGAGTTTGGGCCCCATGGATGCAAGGAGGCAGCCACCAGCTAGCGCTGCACAGAGAAAGCGGGGAGTTTCCTTCCCTGGCTCTGCCTGTTGCATGGGACTCGAGTGTCCTGGAAAAGCAGGGCGGACCCGCATCTCCAGCAAACCTCTGCTGCTCTGATTGCCAGAGGTCCTCAGTTCCTACCTAGCTGTTGGCCACCCCAGAGAGGTCCATGTACCTAGGGCTGATGTGCTCTTCTCCACCTCCTGCTTTGTTACTGGGGTGCTTCCCCATGAAGACAGGGCAACGTCACCCTCCGCCCTGTCAGTGCCTCTGGTACTAGTTGGTGGCAGGGAGGTTCACAAGGTTGAGCAGGACATGTCCCCATGCAGAGTGCTGGCTGAGGGGGTCTGGAGGGTGCTGTCAGCAGTGCCACAAACCTGCCAGCACACGGGGCCCCCAGGCAGCCAGACTGCCCTTCCCTGAGCCTGTATCAAGTGAGGACCTTCCCAGCCCCAGGGGACACTGGCATGCACGGGGCTAGGCACTTTCAATATCAAGTCTCTGGGACTCCCTGGCAAATGTGTCCCCTCTCTGCCAAGCAGGTCCCCCAGTGCAGCAGGGGCAGATCAGAGCACCTGGGCTGAACAGAAGACAGGGCAGCATCACCTCAACGACAGGATCGAAGCACTGGTGTCTGCCATCCTCTGCGTCCTGCTGGGACGCTGCCGAAAACTGCCAACCACTGCAGGCAGGGAACAACACCGGGGCCCTGCTGACCAGCCAGGCTGCCTGAGCAAACAGCAGCTGGAGCTGCAGTTTGGGGCCCCTGGGAGAGCCGGCAGGGCTGGGCTGGGCTCACTCTCCACCCTGAGCTCATTTCAGCTGCTTATTCCAGGTGGGTGCCCACACACGCTGCTGGCACCATTGCGGTGCCATGGGTCCCATCTGGCAGGCTCTGCATGGGGAGGAGCACCCACATGATGGCACTTGGTGGCACAGTGCCTGGCTGCTCTGTCCCATGGCTTCCCCTCCACCACGAGGCTTTTTATGCTGGAGGTCTCCCTTGGGACAGCGGCTGTTGTGACTCACCGATCCTCAGAGCAAGAGAGAACTGGCCAGACAGTGACTCCTGAAGAAACAGGGTGTTATTAGACTTGATTTCTGTATCTGTTTCCAGCCTTCCTGTGCCTGAGGAACTGTAATGCAGCCAGGCCCAGCATCCCTTCTGCAGGAGCAGAAGGCAAAGGACAGGATCACAGCATCCCAAACCCAATCCTACATCCGTGCTGTTGCGTGGCTGCAACCACAGCCCCACAACAGCCATCCCTTGGAAGGGCCAGGGATGGTTTGGTGCACACGAAAAGTCTCTGCCCCTTAAAGTAGCTCTGCACACTGATGGTGCCCACATGCCACTGTCCTCCTGCTGCTCTGGGCCCTAGAGGGAGCAAACACCTCTTGGGAACCATCCTCTCCCCTGGGCTTGTGTTGGATGTTACCCTCAAAGAGGCTCAGTTCTCCCTGCAGTTGGTTTTATTTTTCTTTTCCTTTATTTTTCCCTCCCATGACTTGCACACTGCTCCCCTCCCTCTCATGGGGTTGCAAAATTAAGCCTGTAATTCAGATCCAGGCTGCGAAACTCAGGAAAAAAAAAATCATACTAAATTTCTGTGCTTCATCTGTTTTGGAAACTCTGGCACCCGCCCCCCCCCCACCCCCCCCCCCCCCCCCCTCCCCTTCCCCCCCCCCTC